CTGTCATATGCTTTGTATGAGAAACGCATAAATGGGCAAAAGTATCGGAAAAAAGGCCTCTTTTTGAATGTATACATTTTATCACGGATCTACGTGCTTCAAATTACTCGTCGAGGTGAGGCCTTCTGAAATGTTTGGTTGAAAGTTCAAAAAGCTGTGCTGAGGTGTTAGTTGTTTTTTTTTTCTTTTTAGTTGTGAATCCCGCCCTAAATTTGTTATGCACAGATTATAATACGCTTGCTTTTTCAGCCTTGTTAGTTCACTACACTAAAGCAGGTCGTTTGAGTTTCCGATGCGGTTTCACAAAGCATCGTGTTACACAAAAAGTGAAGCAGAAGAGTTGATCTCGGTTAAAGGTCATTGAGAGATTGAAAGTGTTTTAGTTTAATGAATTCTAAGTATTGATACAGGTCTAAATGAACTTTTTTATAAGCGCACGTATTTTTGAAGTGAAGTGTTGTGCTATTTTCTGTGAAAAAATGTGGATTTTGCCAAAAAGTATCTTGACTGGTAATTATCTTCTAGAATGGAATTTTTCTTTTCAGTAATTCTTAAAGGGTACTCGATGGCTTCGTTTTTTCGTGTCAAGAGTGAATTGGTAGCATCCGGAGAACTTCGACTGGTTTTACGATCTTGTTTGGCTTCACAGTGTAGATGTTACTCAAGTACAACAACGGCTAGTAAAGATCAGGAAGAAGTTATCGAACGGCAGCCAGAAAACTACAGGTAATATAATCCTACGGGCTTAATTGGGTTTAGCTTTGTATTATCTTTTGTTTAAACATAAATTTTTGGAATAATTTGCTTGTGTGTTAAACTAAAGGTGAAGGAACTATCTTGAACTGTTACAATATAAAGTCAACTTTGAATGACACCTTTCTCATTTCAAATTCTTTTGAATTTCTTTTGATTTAAAGGTTGCTTCTGCAACTGTAGTTATAGTTTATACTTTTTAAAAAATAATTTATGCTGTCCCAGTAATTCTTATTTGTTATTCTCTTGTTAAACTTTTTAGGCCAGGTGCTGACTCTTACGCCTACGATAATCCATGGCCAAAGTTAAATCGTGGACGCCTTGATTTTCTTTTTGGTGATGGTTGGAGACGGCCTTTAGCGAGGGATCAAGGAGCAAAAATGGTCTGTCACTGCATATTTGATTTCGTTTTCGTTCACGTTTCATTTTTTTCCACTTTTTTATTTTTAAATTAATTATAATTTCAGAGACGGCAATGGATTTGGTTTGGGCAATGCTCTTACGATGAGCACAAGGACTGGTTTGACTTCCATTCAAAGTTTTTCATATTTTGCACAGTTATGGTTGTTTACTTCACATTTTGGATCGTTTACGCTAGACCTGACTGGTACGTTTGCTTGCAGCAAAGTGTATGTTGCATTTTTTCGTTTTTCTGCCATAAATTTAAAGAATTTTACCGGATTGATACACAGTTTCAGCGCTTGG